GATCTGTTTTCTAGAAATAGGAATTAATACTTGTTAAAACCGAATCAATGTACAATATATTTGAATTACATGGAGAGAAGCGCCCGTAAAGCAGTTTTTAGATCGGTCCATTTGAGTTCTGACTTGATGGCCCGACGACGTTGGTATGCTTCTTGGTGTCTCTGGACGAGTCTCGTTTGAATAGCTGCCTGAAGTTGTTCGCAAAGATTGGCTTGGTTAAGGCAATGTGTTTCAACCAGACGACTTCCCTCTCGTATGCTATCATCTATAGCTTCCAATCGTTCTTGAAGTCGTCGTAGTTCTTCAGTCTTTTGGGAGATTTCAGTAGCTAATGTATGTCTCTCATGCCGGAGCTCGTCCAGTCGGGCCCTAGCAACGCTGAGATCTTGGTCGGCCTTCTTCAAATCTGCTTCAATATTATTAGGATCTGCTGCCGGACGGGAGGAGGTCGCTTCGGATAATGGGGGTTGGATCAGAGGAAGTTCAGCTTAAAGTTCAGTGATCCTTGCCATCATCCGATCGAGAACTGGTGAAGCTCCCGACTCCAGGGCAGGTTGAACCAATAGGGTTATTGTGACTTGGACTAGCGCCGAAAGGTCAGCCAGTTCTAAGTCAGCAAAATCCAAATTGCCGTATCGTTCCACAATGGTTTTGACGGGAGTCGGGAGGTCTATTCGGGTCAAAATGTTCATCTCCTGAGCAGCCTGAACCAGAATAAGATTAGCAAGCTAAAAGACATGGCAAAATTTTTGAGAGATAAGGTCGGAAGGTTACTTGATTCAGGGCAGCTGTAGCCTCAGAAGGGGCCATAAGTTGGAAAATTGAGGGGTTGACTGGTCGGATAGTTAGACCAGCAACTGATTCATCCCCTGGTGGAAGTTGTTGGGTGGCTGCTAAATCCATACCCTGAACAGAAGACAAAAGTTTTCAGCACCATTGGATGGGCGAAAACTAAATCCAAAAATAGATGAGAAAGGGTACCAACCAGATCCAGCGGGACAAAATTAACGGAAGCTTCACCCGATTTTGAGGAGGAAATTTCCTCTACATCGTGGGGTGGTTGGACTGGTTCGGGACCAACAAGAGGAACCTCATCAACTTGCTGAACAAGTGGGTCGGGTAAAGCCACGACCTGGTCGGGGTCGGGTAATACCACATCTTCAATAGGTGCCTGGACCAAATAGGTTTTAGGTATCAGGAGTTTTATCAAAAGGACGATGTTGAAAGAAGGTTTAGCGCTTACTTGTTGAGGTTCCGCAACTTGGTCGGGGAGGACAACAGGTTGGTCGGGCATCACCGCAACCATGTCCGACGCTAGGGGATGAGGTAGCCTGCCCATCGATTCGCCTGGTCGGTGTGCCTACAATAAAAAGTTTGAAGTTATTGTTTAAAATTAATATTTTGTTGGTCTAAGGAATGTCGGAAACTATCTTTTACCTCTGATTGTCTGGTGGTCGGTTGTGTGGTGATCGGGACTATAGCTAGTCGTTCTGTGGTCCGGACCACAGATGGTTGTTCTATGGCCGGGACGGCAGTTGATCGGGACGAAGATAAATTAATGGGAAGTTGTGCCTCGGGTGATTGTTGATCGGTCGGTTGAGACGTGGTCGGGCCAGTGGTCGGGAGCATTGAAGGATCTTTTGAAATAGACATATTGGAGTTAGAAATGGGCCGTATGAAAATAACATAGGGAAAGGAACAAAACTTACCAAATTGTTGCCTTAAATACTTTGGCATCCCACTGGTATCTATGGGCAGAGAAGCCAAATATTCCTCGATGGCCTGCCTATCGATAGCAGGAGTGGCCTTTGCTTTTTGTCTTTTTGCTCCCGACCCACCTGCCACAGGTGCTTGCCTTTTCCTTCCTCTGACTGCCAGTCGGGGGAGCCAAGAGCCAGAGCTGTGGGTGGAGCAAGCCTCCCGACCAGTTGGTTAGTCGAAGGGGCAAGTAAAGACCAGGTGGCCGACCACCAGGCGGGAAAATTTTTGGTTGTCGAAGGTTTTGGGCAGAAAGGGAGATAAGGTGATGTAGCTGGTGAGTTGAGAAATATAGGTCGGGATGAGTTCGGGAATTGCCAGACCCTCGGGGCTTTGAAATATGAGGTGAGGACTGGCTAATGGTCCTGGTATGCCCTAGCAGCAACCAAATTGCCTCGACAAAAATTGAGGTTGGTAATTGTAAGTAAAAAATGATCTACGATTCTTCTTATCCGACCTTCTACTAGAAAAAAGAGATCGGGGCTTCATCGCGGCGTCCCAGGAAAAAATGTAGGTCGGGTGAGGGATAGGATCTGGGCGAGTTAAAGGATAGGTTGGGTCAGGATAAAGGAAGAAAAGATCGGTCGAATATTGCATTAAGGTTGTATATACAAAAAAACGGGAATTGTTCCGATCTTCGGTCAAAATTTGGGTTATTATAGAATTAGAGGATTTTAGACAAGAAGAGTTCGGGGTTAATCTGGCTAAGGCATAGCCAATAGACCTGTAAGGATTGGGAGAAATTGGGAGGCGACCAAAAAATGCAGAGGGGAAGTATAGACAGAACCACAATTCCAAGAATCAAAATGGTCCTGAGGCTGCAGTGTCCGCCTTTTTAGTATCCGTAAGACGGGAACTTACTCGGGTTAAACCTTCAAAGAGGTTGGCTAAAAATAAGGTACCTAAAGAAGAGAAATGACCACATGCCAAATGAATGGCTAGGTCAATATGAGTTGAAAGGACAAGTTTAGAAGGGGAAAGAATGATATATCTGTGAAATAAAAGAAGAAAGGAATGTAAGCTCAAACATTCAAACTTTGTGCATACAAAAGAAATCAAAAGGAAGAAGATATACCTGCAGAGCCAAAAGAGGAGAAAAGCAGTGTGTTCCAACTCGGAAACAGGGGTATCCTCCTTACCCTGATATTTATTGACAAAGTATGTCCATCCTTTTTCTCTTTCAGGCAGTTTGGCCAGGGCCCAACCTTGATGGTTGGGGGGAAGTTCTTGATTTCCGAGAGAAACCAGAACGGGGTCCTCTCCTGTGATCGGTAAATGCGCGATCACTGCTACATCCATTAGGGTTGGACCCATTGGACCTGAAGGGAGGAAAAAGGCACCTATTTGCGAATGCCAAAAAGCCGCCATGACCATCAGAACTTTATCGTGGAGGTAGAGGGGTTGCGTTGAAAGGAGGATAACTTTATCGATCCCTTGGGTTTTCCATTGGTTTTCAAAATGAGGAAGGAGCCTCGCGTACCATTTCCGGTAAGCATCTTTTGGATCGGTCAAGTGAGTTTTGATGCTATCCAGAAGGCGTTCCGATTTGAACGCTTCATTGTTGACGATAATAGGAGAAACTTGAACAATGACTGAACTCATACGCTCAGCATCCGCAGTGGTAGTGCAGTAAAGGCGGATTGTAGGGGTAAGAACTTTGGAAGATACAAGGGGTATTGAGGGTTCAGTTCCGTCAAAAGGGAGTGCAGGGACGTATTGGTTAGCCATTTACGCGAGAATGAGAAAAGATAGAAAGAAAAAACGAAAAAGGGAGCTATACGAGAGCAGAAAGGGTTTTAGAATTGTGAATGTGTACGTTTGAGAAGATGAAGTTGGGGTTTAACATAAACCCTTTTGACGCAGCGCAGTGTGATGATCACACTGTAACCCTAAAACGTCACGTCTTCCGTAGTTCGAGGAGTGACGTTTCGACGGGAGGGGGCAAGTTGTTGAGCACAAAATAATAGATATGTTTTTAGGAAATGGGCCTGCCAAGATTAGGCCATTCGAAACGTCCAATGGGCTTTTTGAAAGTCCAAATATGATTGCAGTAACCAGGTCGGATGAGTTTTGAGTCTGATCAAACCTGGTCGGGTAAATCCCCAGGACGGATGAGGAGATTGGACCTGGTCGGGACCAAATAGTTCGGACGTCAAAGTCGGACCTAGTCAGGACAAAGTTCGAGGGTCGGATTTAAGAAAGTCGGACGGGTGATAAGATTGGACCTGGTCGGGACCAAATAGTTCGGATAGAGAAGTCGGACCTAGTCGGGACAAATTCCAAGGGTCGGGCATAAGAAGGGTAGATATTGAAGTCGGACCAAGTTCAAAGGTTAGGTATTAAAAGTAGTTATCCTATAGGTCGGATAAAATGCAGTTTCTGGTAGTGAGGGTAGTTTCGACTGGTGAGCGGTTTTTAAAGTCGGACGTGACAGGACGGTTCTCATACGTGTCGATAGAAGAGAATTTTTTGGGGAGTTAACAGCGGTTATGGTAACCGACTGGATAGCGGTTCGAACCGTATTTTCAAGGGGTTATTTAAAGATTCTGTACGGTATAGAGAGGGCATCTTCAATCGACATCAAATTCAAGAAAATCGCTTTTGGTGATCACCACTTTATTTTCCCGTCTTTATTTTATTCTTATTTCATTCTACAGTGTTTAGAAGTTTCTAATTTCAGACATTCATCTATCAAATTCGGGAATATTTCTCTATTTTCTAATTTTAGTTTTTATTGTTGAAAAAACGCGTCAACAATTCTAAATCCATCCAAATTTTTATTTTAATAATACATAAAATTTACATGAATACATATAATAAATATTGAAGAAAATAAAAAAAAAATTAAAAGAAAACTTATCGAGGAGGATAAAGTTGTAGATAAAAAAACTTATCATCGTATGAAAAATTGTGATACAATAAAGTGAGGATATTTGTGTAATGAATAAAAGAATTCTGAAAAACTCCTTAAATTCTGGAAATTGCTATTAAATTCAAATTGGTGTAAACCATAAATATCTAAACTAAAATGGAGTTATCAGAAACTCCTTAATTTTTTAACTCCTCAATTTTTTAACTCCTCAATTTACCAAGTTTTCAGGTCTATTTTGTTTTTAAATAGTTTAAGTTAGGACATTATTTTAAAAAATCCATGTGACACGCGCCAAGAATTTCCGTTTCCCTCCAAAATTCCTAGTGCTTCGGTAAATTGATATTCAACTCACCTTTTTCTCACACTTTGAGGAGGACAGGAGGATTCGCAATGGCGGAGCAGGAGGAAGAACAAACCCCTAACGCCGCCGAGGAAGCGCACAAGCTGGAGATCCCGACTCGTCGAGTGAAGAACATCATGAAGCTCGATAAGGACATCAACAAGGTCAACTCCGAGGCACTGTTTCTCATCGCTTCATCCACCCAGCTCTTCCTCCAATTCCTCGCTGAGAAATCGGCGCACGTCGCCAGGGAGAACAAGAAGAAAACTGTGAGGACCGAGCACTTGAGAGTCGCTGTGAAGCGACATCGTCCGACTGCCGATTTCCTGCTGGATTCTCTCCCGATGCCTCCTCAACCTCCCGAACAAAATCCTGTCAAGGAGCGCGCTAAATCGCGTCCTGATAAGAAGGCTGTTCCTTTTGCCACTCGGTCGATTGATGCCTTCTTTCAGAAGTTCTCTTAGATTTAGGGCTTTCTGTAGATTGTACATTTTTCTGAAGTAATGTTTCCAAGTTTCCTATTTTAAGCAGAAACAAAATTGAAGGAATGGTTAGATCAAGCAATGCCAACAATGGATTTTTTGATCCATTTTTTAGATTGGTTGTGTTTGAATGGATGGACTTGAAGCCTAAAGTTACATGGTTTCTTTGGATGTTCAACTTCTTGATGATCATTTTCTTGATTGATGTTTGCAGTGATTGGTTGTGTTTGAATGGATGGACTTGAAGCCATCGAAAACTAGTGATTAAAATCCATAGCTACTAGTTATTTGCAATCTTTCACTCGAAAGTTACATGGTTTCGATCCTATGTTGGACTTCTTGATAAGCATGTTCTTTGTTCAGGTTTGAAGTTTTGCCTTTGTTTGAATGGGGATATTGAAACCTGTGAAAATTATTGATTTCATTGCTATTGTTTCAATAATTTCATGTTATAGTGAGTTACAATTTCCTGAAGTTTTAATTTTATTATCTACTTATCTATCTTTCTCTCTAACTATTTTCTCCATGCAAATGAGGGAAATTCTAGCATCTTTTGAGTGGGAGATCAGTCATTAAACTGAACAAGTTTAATCAAAACTTCTAAACCCAGTGCTTATTCAGATTTATGAATGGTGTGATACTGGATTCTGTACAAACTAGAGGTGATCCATGTTATTGGTTTGACAAATATTTCTGCACTAATGGTGATAAGGGGCATGAAGATAGTGGTGAATTGAAATGAAATCTTCGTGGACACTCTATTGTCCTAAGGGGAAAAGGGGCCAGAAAACGACGACACAACTGAAACAGTATCTTCTCTGAGATGGTATGCAAATTCTTTTGGAGTGTTTGTCCTTTGTCTGTGTGGCTTATTTCCTCCTTTCATGTATGATATACCTTGAGCAGGTGTGTTGATGCTGGTTCCCATCTGCTGTAAGATTAGCTTTCGGTTTATTGGAATTGTGTTTCTCGGGCCACCATTTATGCTACTATCTGAGAGGCGCCGACTGCTGGTGCCCGGCCTTGGTCCAAAGGGGCTGTCATGCTCGGTTACTACTTTACTTTGTGCTTTCTTTTGCTCCTGCATAATACAAAGGTAAGCTCTAACTTATATCCTATTTTTATCAGTTCGTATATTATAAAAATTGTTCTGCAAGTTATTTGTTAGTTGTGATTGATGAAGAGAATTGTTGTGGAGGATAATGGTACCCTTTGTTTATGTTTTTCTTCTTCTTTTTCCTTCCTCACCATATTGTACTCTTCGAGCATTGCAAGTAGAGGAACCTGGTGACAGAATATAATTCCCTTGTAACAATCAAATGTCATTTCCTTAATCAGGCTGTAACGTCTGGAATATGTAGCCAAATTTGGATTAGTTCTCAGTTTTATAAGTTGATCCCAATCCTTAGGTGCTCAAGAAACTATATTTTGCCATAACTGTTGATAATTTCCATGGTTCATTTCAATTTTTGTAAGAAGTATGCATACCTCGTCGTACAAGAAAACTTTCTTTCTTTCATCTTCCCATTGCTTAGTCTTTGATATGAGCAAATCCACCAGACCTACAAAGTTGTTAAAAATGCGACACAAATGCACATCTCAGTTTCTAATTCTTCTTTCGTGCTCGTTTAACTGATTTTATTCTTGCCTAGATTTTAAATGGCACAACATTGATGGTTTCAGTCAGTTTTGCTTCTATCAATGTATTGAAAACAAGCTAATAGCTTGACAGAATTGACCTGGTATCTTGTTCACCATCACTCTAGCGCGCTCTGCTCTTTTAAGGTTCTTGTGAGCACCTCTGCTAACTGAGTAACGATTTTCATCCTGAAACAGTGACTTGATTGCTCAATTTTTTGACCTGAGAATACAATCAATGTGTTTTAATTTGCATATGAACTTGAGAGTAAAGTTTAACCCTGCTGTACTCCTCCAACCAGCGCTCCTCGTCCCGTGCCAATATCCATTTTTCAACCTTCTCCATAATCATCTTTCGGCTTGCAGCTTCTTCTTCAGCTCTTGATATCTGTTCATCCACACTTGTGAGGAGATCGGCATGATCAATCTCCCCTTTTGTTTGTTGGTATCAGTTGAAAAGTGTTTTTACCACAAGCAAAAACTGCAAAAATTTATATTCTTTTATAAATGTAAGTTTACCTGAGTCTATTTGGCTGATTATTTTTTCCATGTCTGATCTTGAAGGTATTTCCATGTGCGATCTACTGCATATCTCTTCAAGTTCTAATTGCCTTTTGAGGAAAAACTCCTTCATCTTGCTTGCTTTTAATTGATCCAATCTCTTGACTTCAGTCTCAGCCTTGAAGCAATTTGGATCAGTTCATACATTTTATATAACTATAGTTTGTATAAATTTCAGACTTGTCGTACACGGACCTGCTGCACTATTTCTGGGGTAAGGCTTCCAGGAGTGGATATCTCAGCTGATGCCATTGATGATAGACCGGTGACATGGAGAAATGGCTGACGGTCTTTGTAGGATGTGTCCATGAGACTCCACAGGTTAGCTAATGATTTACCAAGTTGTTGAAGCTGCATTTATAATATTACCCTCACAGCTCAAAATCTGGCATTTTATACTATTTGATGTGTACAATTTATTTATTTTTTTCCTTTTTTCTCTAATTTTCATGAATTTGATGCTCAACATTTACCTACTCAAGATTGAAAAAAGCATACCTTATCAAGCCTTGTTTGCTTTTCTGATTCAAGTGTTTTCACGGTGCTATCAAGCTTTTCTAGAATAGCATCACTTATGTTCTTTGACAATCCTGACAGCTCGTTCAAGCTTGGATGTACTTTGGTTATTGTTAGTGAGGAATCCATTCCTAATGTGGCCGACAATTGTTTTATTGTGCTGATGTATTTTTCCACCCTCTGAAGTCTGTCACTCTTAAATTCATATGAACATTAAAAAAGGAACATAAAATCAGCAGTTTTCCTTTTCTTTTGGTCCCATTGAAACATGCTTATTAGTTTTTTTACCTTCTCTGCATGAAGTCTCTGAAGCTCATTTTGATATTCCTCAAGCTTTTTGAGTGAAATATCATTTTCATTAACTGAAACAGCTGATGGTGAGTCACTGTACTCCGTCCGACCATCTATCTCTGCAGAAATTTTATGGATTTGTCCTTGCACCACTCTGAATTGTTTAACTCGGTCCTCTTTCCTTAACTGCATCTCTCTTAGTGCTGGGGTTATGGAATTTAATTGCTCCTTCAGTGTTCCTGTCATTTTCTCTGGCTGCCATGAATGAAAATGTACTTGAATTAACACAAGAACAACCTCATCTGCACATCAATACATTCCGAGAATATGCTCACAGATGATTTCTTTCCGGTTGTATTTACGCATTTCCTATGCTAGATGTCTCTTTATTTATTAGTTACTCATTATGGAAGTATCCGTGCTCTTACCCTTCCAGGGAGTGATCTTTCGCCAAGGGACAGCAGGAGATGAGTGAATTCAGCTTCAGATTCTGCGAGCTGCTGATGCAGTCTGGCTCGAGAAATGTTTGCAGTGTCAACTTTCTTCCTATAAACTTCAAGGCATTCCTGCTCAAGTTCCAGCAGAACTTTATCTCTCTCAAACTGGTCTTGTCCTACTTCATCCCATATAATCTGCAAAATTATATCGAAAGGTATGAGTAAGGTAAACAGATCCATTCATATTGCAATAAACTGCTAAATTAGAACACTTGCCTTCAATTCTTGTAGCAAATAGCCACATGATGTCTCCAGCAATGCTGAACTTCCCATCCCATTTGATTTTGGAAAGGATCCCATTAAAGTAATCCCTTACAAAAACTTAAAACTAGACTAGACTTTTAAGAAGAATGTGTTTTTAGCCAAAATAAAAAGATAAAACTAGTGTTTCTGTAGTTCTTGAGGAGTTTTAAACTACAAAGATGGAGGGTCCAAAATAAGGTGAGGTGGTTTGGCTCTGGAAGTGAATATTTGCTTAAAAGATAAGGCTTCAATGGTGGGTGTCAGTGAGACTTTTGCTTCAAGAATCACTTGTTGCTTTTGATCCTCTTATGAGTTTTATTCCCTATACTTTAATTCTGCAGGTTTCCACTTTGATAATTCTAATGTGTTGGTATCAAACTGGCTGAACTATATTTTAGTTATCAGAACTCCAATTCTAAATTTAAATGCTTTTTAGTGCTTTAAACAGGTCTTGATTCTGAAGCAAGACATCAGGAGGACAAACAAAATAAAATAAAATGAGGAAGTGAAAATGGCAGCTGTGTGATTCAGGTAAAATTTGATTATTCATTAGAAGTACTTTTTAAAGATGATGGGATTCAGAGTTTGCTAGTTTTATTTAAGCTTTCCACTTTCCTGAAGTCATTATTATTTCTGAAATTTGTTCTAATATGACTTGTGTTGAAAGATATATTTTCAAAGTATTTGGGATGTTTATTTGCTTTGGAAATTTGTTTTTTTTTATATTTTTTTATTAATGTGATGCAAATAGATATTAGATGTGATATTTAATACATAAAAAAATTGATGTATTATTTTAAATAAAAAATGAGAATTTAAATTGTGTAAAAAAATAATTTGAAAATATATATTTAAATAGAAGATTGTGAATCTGCAGTGTTATAGAATGGTAGCAAGCTTGTGTAATTAAGGATGGCCTAATTTGTGAGTTTTCTTGAATTATATGTGTTGAGGATTCTTGTGAGAGGTTATATTTTTGTGCCTACTTCTACTTGTTTAATAATTTTGTTTGTTGTTGGAATAATTTGAAAACTTTATCTACAATCCATGACAGGTTGAAGATCAATGCCTCACTTTTTTTGACACCATCATTACATGACGATTAGGTTGTGTTTGATTTGGGGTTTATGTTTTGATTTTTTCTTTTTTTTGAGAGGGTTAAATAAATATTTCTTCGGTCCCATGTAATATGTGCTTATTGCAGTAGATATCAAAATTTAGGTAAAATATAATTAGTAAGTAATTAAAAGGTGTATTAGTAAAAATAATTATAGTGTAATAAAAATAATTATATATTAGGATTAAGATAATTAAATAGTTTAATTAAGATTAAAAAAAATTAAAATATGATTAAAATTTATAATTATATTTCTAAAAAAATGACAAATAAAAAAGGATAGGAACAAAGTATACGAGATAGAGGAAGTAGTATGTTTTTATTGAAAAATATAGTAAAATTTTTTATTGAGAAGGAAAACAAGCCATTCGACCCAAACAAACCCTTGTGTAGCTTTTCTCCAAGAAAATGACCTCCCACCTCGTGTACCTTTCTTTAATGCAAATTATTGCAAAGGGTTTACATTATGTATGCTGTGGATTTATTTCAAAATTATATTGTTGAACTGTATAATATATATATATATATATTGAATTAAATAAGAAATTTGCCATATTAGATATATATAAAATATTAATACGGTGCTTAATTGTTGAATACCTTTGAAAATAGAATGAATCATACGGAATAAGAGAATTATTGTTATTGAGATTAAAAAGCAAATAAAGAGGGGCGAGTTTGTTTATGTTTTCTATGTGGGACACAATCTTTTTATATATATATTTTTTCTCTTTCATATATTCATCTAACAAACATAAATTTTGTTGAACATTTATTATATATTTGATTATTCACAAAAAAAATAAAATAAAAATGGGTTTTTGAATCATGTAAGAAATGATTAAATTTTAGTAATATTAATGTATGTAATGTAAGAGGTAGACAGACTATCTTCATCAATCTTGTTTATTAGGTGAAGTGAAGTGTGCTATGAATAGCTTAGGAATGCGATCCATAACCACTCATCACTTCACTTGAGGCCCTTAAATACCGTTCTTACAAATGTTGACTTTTTTAAATATACATTTATGTATGGTTTCGTTGTAAACTTTTAGTTTGAAATTAATTAAATCACATGTTAATTTAAATTTTTATTTAAATAGTATTTTGATGCAATATTTTATAAAAAAAAAATAATATTCCCTCTGTCTCAGATTCCATGTCCACGTTACCGTTTTTGTCCTTCCCATATACCATGCCATTTTTTTTTAAGTGATTACATACTTTAATCTCATTTTAAATTTTTTAATTTTATTTTTTTAATTTTATTTTTTTAATTTTAATTAAACTAATTAGTTATCTTAATCTTAATTTATAATTATTTATATTATAGGATAATTATTTTCACTAATATATTTTTAATTATCTACTAATTATACCCCTTTTAAAATACTACGATATCTGGGACGGAGGGAGTATATTTTTATTAAAAAGTGTATCTGTTGATTTCGACTTGAAATAATAAAGAAACAAACATAATTTGTCATAAATAAAATATTGCGAGGGTTTGGTTTGCATTTAATATTTAAATAGTAATTATAAATGATATTTTTAATTTATAAGAAACAATAAATATATTTTTTAAAGAATTGTTTTGCATTTTTTTTAAATATACTTTGGATGCATTTATTAAATGAAATTAGAATAAATAATATTATTTTATTCGATCTAATCTTATTTAATTCAACATATTCAGGTGTTATATAATTAAAAATTGGATACAATAATATTCATTTTTAGCCTATAGAATTATTAACACAATCTAACTTCTTGGTATTATTTAATTATATTTAATAAAATATCTAAATTACTATTTTTAGAAATTAAAAGTATTTTATATTAATATAATAAAAATATTTATATTTAATATATTTTGATGTCATTTGAAATGTAATTGTTTTTTTTTTTTTTAAAGTTAATCAATAAAATATATAATGATAAAAATGATATTATATACATTGCTAAATATCAATTTATAGTTTTGAAGATAAAATTAAATATATCTAATAAAAATATATCAAATTATATATGTATATATATCATGACAATATAACAGTTAAAATTTTAATATATATTATTATATATAATATTAGTATAATTAAAAAGAAAAACAAAATATAAATGAATTATATTATAGGGTGTGATTGTTTTGTGAGAATGTTGATTTTTTTTTTTTTTTTAATGTGAAGTATAGAAAATTGTGTAAGGAATATAAAAATGGTGAATTTGTGTAGTGTATTAATATTAATAAAAAAATATAAGAGAAAAAAAGTAGGAAGAACAAAGCTACAATCTATAATAAGATTATAATTGTTGTAATATTAGCATAGGATTAGCCAATAGAAATATTGATTATTTCTAACTAACCACTATTTTATATATTGTATATACATATATAGTATATAAAGATATATGACTGTGGCGTGTGTAAGTAATAATATATATATATAAGTGTACTGTGTGTGGCCTGAGTAAGTAATAATATATATATATAAGTGTACTGTGTGTGCGTTATATATATTATAGGTATATAGATAAATATTATATGATACTAATAAATGGAAGGATAAAACGAGAGCAAATTATTGATATTGAGAGTAATATGAGAGATTTTATTATTTTATCAATTAGATATTAATACATGTATTTATAGACAGGAATGCGATGAAAGAATGAATATTATGTATCAACTGAATTCTGCATATGACTTGGTGTTCTTGCGTGTTCCAACAATAACAAATATTTGAAGTAAGAAAAACTAAATAAATAGAATACTTCCTCTATCTCAAACACGGTTGACACCTATATTTAATTAGTTAATAACAGTGAGTTATGATATTATTTTATTACTTTTATGTAGTTAATAATATTGATAGTTTGAAAATAAATTTAATATTGTTACGTACGAAATTTAGAATTAGGTTAAAAGCCCAAGGTAAAAAGAAGAATGGGCCTGGCAATAGAGTTGATTGAACTGGCTGAAGGATACCGTGGGGAAATCAAGGAAAATAGGTTTATTTCTAAGGAAAAATATAAGACGGAAAGTCCTCAGGACGGAAAGACTAAAGGGCGGAAGGTCTTCAGGTCGGAAGGCCCTCAAGACGGAAAGTCCCCAGGACGGAAAGACCTCAGGTCGGAAGGTTTTTAGGTCGGGAGGTCCTCAAGACGGAAAGTCATCAGGACGGGAAGTCCGCAGGTCGGGAGGCCCTCAGGTCGGGAAGTCCTCAGGACGGAAAGACTAAAGGGCGGAAGGTCTTCAGGTCGGTAGGTCCTCAAGACGGAAAGCCATCAGGATGGGAAGTCCGCAGGTCGGGAGGCCTTCAGGTCGGGAAAAGGAAGAAAGTTAAGATCTCAAGAATTGATCCAAATCCAGACTCAGGTATTACCAAGAGATGGTTGTCCGTGATCAGCAGTTCGGGCTGTATTCAGGTCGGGCGGAGTCTAAAAGAAAAAGGTGTACCCAAGTTGGGTAAACCGTAGATCGGATGGAAGGCGAAGTCGGGCAGACGCGGAGGTCTGTCAAGAGGAAGGTCGGGCAAGGAAGAGGTACGGACAGACGCGGAGGTCTTCGGTCAAAGACGGAGGGCGGCTGATGCGGAGGTCGGCCCAAGTGAGGTCGGGCGAAGAAGCAGGTCGGGCGAAGGACGAAGTCGGGCCAAAAGGGCGGAAGGTCTGTGGTCGGCTCAAAGAGTGAAATATAGGGATAATTTTTGGTCTGCTGAGGACACGTGTCAGCAGGAGAAGGGTTGGAAGACGGTTGGGAAGGAGACGTTGTAACCGTTCGGGCGACGGTTTTCAGTACAGTTTCCTAGAGAATATTTAAGGATTTGGATCATCATTTGGCAAGGTATCTTCAATCAACTTCAACAAAGCAAAGTCAGATTTGGGGATCACCACTTTAAATTTCAGTCTTTTATTTTCCAGTTTATTTTCTGTACCATACAGTGTTTAGAGATTCCTAATCTCAGGCACTAATTAATCAAGTTTAAGGATATTTTCTATATCTTTGAATTTTACTTTATTTTTGTTGAAAAATTACATCAACAAATTGGCGACCACAGT